AAGCCCCAGACTTGTACACCGTTCTGAGACGCAGGGTGGTGCTTCCCTGCTTCTTGCATGCCAGCATCAGCACCGCTTCCTCGTCAAGATGAGGAGTAAAGGAGCCAGTGACCCCCTTTTTCACTGCAAACCAAGGGGGTGCCACAGCAAGACAATCAACTAGATTTCTTCAGATTTGGTACAACAGGCTGGTCAACGCAAAAGTGTCGGTTCTCCCTGCTTCTTGCTCAAGACCCACAACTATCAGATCAAACATTCGAGCAGCAGCAGCGTGTAACCCCTCCGCTGCAACCAAAGGGGTCAAACGTTTGTCGTCAATTCACTTCCAGGCAGAAAAACCATTTTCCTCAAAAGAAACAATTTATTTAGAATGAAACAAAATCAGCTCAACTGTGAGCGCATGTTTGAGTGACAGCTACTTTTAAGCTGTGTGAGCCATAAAAACGGTATTCCTTTACTTTTCCAGCAATCTTGTGTACACAGCACAAAGCAAAGAGGTCATTTTTTTTCCACTTAAAACACGGGCATTGGCATCACAATAGCAGATACACAACTTTTTTTTTTTTTTAAAGCTGCCATTTTAGTAAAATGCACAAATACTAAACAGATAAGCTTTCTTCCATCAAGAGGCCCATGTAAATTCCACACAAGCCACAGCTTCTCTTCCCAAAGGTCCATTAGAGCTTGGTATCCCATGCGGTTGTCTTCTGCAGTCCACCAATTTTGCTTGCAGGAGGAAAGAAAATGTTATTTCAATACAAATGTATACAACAGATTTTTTTTTTCTGTCCCCTCCCTACATTATACAGATGAACATAAAGAGCTACAAGGCCTTTCTGAATATTCTACTTGGACTTCAAAAAGCACCAATACCACCCACGGGCACAAAACCTTGAAATGAAGTCACCTTCTATGTATAGATGCATAACAAGTAGTGCAGGGCTTCTTTTTTGGACCAAGGTTAAACTAGGCTTACAGTACTGATGATTATTCAACTTTCAGTAACAGTTAATGGGACACATCAACAAAATAACTAACCAGGAGAAAAACCAACCAAATTATTAATAATTCAGTTGACTTTCCTCAAAAAATATTTCCTGAAGGCAACTCATCAACAAAAATATGAAACGTAGTGTTACAAGTTTCTCTTTTGTTTTCATTTTGCTGTGGAATTCTAAAAGCAGCCAACTCCAATATTAAAGAAAAGGTCAAATCAAAGACACACCTAATATAATTTAAAATTGTTACTATTCAAGTAATATTTCTCATCCATCATTTTCACACAATCAAAACTGCATGAAGTTGAATATTCACTTAACCATTCTCTGAACCATACAGTCTGCTTTAAGCCTAATACAAAAATCATCTCATCATTCAGTTTCTAAATCATTGGAATATCTGTCCTTCAGTGCTATCTGCAGAAAGTAATAAAAAAGGGGGAGACAAAGGGGAAAGAACCCCAAAAGCTCTACAGTCACATAGCAATCATTTCTTCCACTCTCGTTTCTGTTCAACAGGCCTACAGCAGACTCCCCAGGAGTACTGCCCTCAACACTGTTTTTCTTAAAGCCAGGAACTAGGATTTTCCAAGCCATTTTCCCTGAGTCCTCAGAGTTTTTGAACCTGTCTTCACAAATTTTGATTCACTCCTCCCCATTAATACTTAAGGCCTTTCACCTCAGTTACCATCAACCAGATGGCTCCCCAGCCAATGCAAGAAATCTAAAACTCTCTTCTCCGCCCTCCACAGGGGGCTGAGCAAGTTGTCACCAAAATACTTCAATCCCTTAACATTCTTGCTAAAAAAAAAAAAAAAGAGAGAGAGAGAGGAAGATTTGTCTGCCTGGCACGTAATACCCTGCTCTCTCTACGAGGCTTACAAGGATGAGTTGGTATTTGTAACCCAGGAACCTGAAACCTCTGGAGTTGAGGGTAACATCAGCGTTCATGCTGCAGTCCCAGCTAGATGGGAGCAAAGCAAGCCACTGGCCGGCAGCCGAGGAAGTTGCATAAAGTTTCCAATTAAAAAAAAAAAAAAAAACCAAACAAAAAACCAACTAAAATCTTAAACAAAAGTATGAGTCATTTGAGGTTCTTTCCCCAAAGCATAAAGCACAACTATGAAATGATTCAAGAAAAGGACATCCTTTTTCCACGCTAATTCAACAAACTAATGAAATATAGGAACATCAGCTGCACATAACATTCAAAAAAATACTGAGCTCTCGCTTGAGCAACATAATGCCAAACACAAGAGCGCTAAAGTCTGCTACATCTGTTTTGCTCTATACAGAAGTGGTATTACGTATGGACTTCTACTCACGGTCAGCCCTGGCCAAGACGAATTTAGTGGACAGTTACTCCAATGGTGCACACTTCAGAGCCTCAGACAAAAGCACAGCCTACCAAGCTGTACCAGCCTCGATGGCAGCACGTCAACTTAAGTGCCGGCAAAAAAAAAAAAATCTTGCCAGTCAACTATGTTTTGACATTAAGAACCCTCAAAGGGTGTTAAAATCCTTGCTTACAAAAAAACAGAGCAGCAACCACAAATAAACCAGATTTAAAGAAGCAGGTACTCTATTAAATAAGGAATCAGAAAACCTGGAGTCAAATACAGCCTCGCCTGTTCCTTATTACCCTCCAGCATAGCACAATTTTGACTCATAAAAGCCCGTGGCAGGTAAAACCACCGCTGTTTTACAAGGAATAATGGAAGCGCATCTAGGATGCTCTTTCCAAAAGGGTTCCCACACCAAGTTTGCTTTGACAAGCTATCTTGACCCCAAGTTTTACAGGATTTAAAAACAGGTGCCTACTGCATATCAGTGTAACAAACACTGTTCTCAGCAAGTTTAAGTGTTGAACACAAATGACATTAGTGCTGCTTTTTTCTTTTTTGGTTTAGGGCAGATTTGAATTCCCAGTGGTTCGAGTTTCTTTCCTTTAAAACTCTGCACTTGCAAGCGACTCAAGTCAAATGCAAGGAGAAAATTCACTCGAAACGCAAGCAGAACTGCAAGTGAGTTAGCAACAGCATTGATTACCTGCTGACACACAACAGACACCTGCTAGAATTAAAACAGACATTCTTTGCATTAAGTGGTAAATACGCCATATCTTCTAAAACATATAGTTATTCGCATTATCGGTGTCATTTTGAAAAATTCTCATTGTTAATAGTAAGATGAACAGCTGAATTCTGCCATGTATTACATTCACACTGAAGGACAACAACCCAGAAATCCTGGATTTTACCCTCAAACATTTAAGAGCATTAAATGAGGCTTGTACGTTTCCATTTAGAAAGAAAAGTAGCTATAAAACCAAAATCTGCTTTCAAGATATGCTGCCATTCAAGTTCTCAGTTCACCGCGATGCTTGGGATACTACGTCTACTCATTCCGGTCAGATAAAGGAAATCAAAACCCACTCAAACCAAAGCACTCTCTGACGAGTGGGTCAGGCAAAGCAGCATTACAAAAATTCCTATTTTTTGAGACACTGAATCTCAAGCAAGTACAGTCACACTTCAGAACTGCTGTGCCCATAAAATACATTCAAGACATTTCCTCCTTCGTGTACTATTCCACATTTTGAACTCGATTTTTGTGTTGTGCAAGTTGAAACAGAAATCAACTTGTCCCTGTATCGATCGCCCAAGGAATATCGCGGAGGATGGACTGAGTGAAGCAGCATCGCTTTTACATTGCCCAAGTCTCTGAAAACGTGGCTAAGTGCAAGATTACATTCTGGGTTTAAGTGCAACGGTTTTTGGGGCCTGTAAATCGATACAGTCAGATTTACACTTCAGTTTAGAAGCTAGCTGCAACATCCTTTCAGTTGTTAAACAAAACAACAGGGATTTAGATCCCCTCTTGCCTCCTAAATGCCATAGGCCAAGACAGCTGGAGAAAAGTGTCCAACGAGTAGGGGAAAAAGCGTAAAAGAAAATGAACTATGTTCTTTGAAAAAAAGCAAACTACTTCCCTCCTAGAATCAGAGGAACAAGAGCTCAAACCTCAGCATCTTGGAATACTTTCAATACTTCTCCAAGATGCTAAAAAAAACTTTTACTCCAGATGCCTATAAAATGAAAAACCTCATGTAATGCCCATTGTGCTGTACCTGAAAAGTCCCTAGCAGACAGCAGTTTCTTGCTATTAACAAAGAGGTAAAACGTTAATGAGAACTTTTATGTAATTAAATTATCACAGAATTAAAACCATCTCTGGAGAGAAGCACACTTGCTCAGAGTTTGCACTGTGGAACCAGACCCCACTGTACCTGCAACTCTTTGAGGAAAAAAAAAAAGGCAGTAAAAACAAAAAACCACAATGAACTAAAGTTATTCTTAAAGCACCTCCTTGTTTCTTGCATACCAGAGTAAGCACAAGACATTCATGGTTTGTAACAAAGTCCTCAGCTATTTACCAAACATTGTCACTGCTACAAACCCAAAGTGCATATATGGGATACAACAGAACTCAGAGAAATAGGAGAAATACACCTGTTAAAAAAGCATACTTTCAGTGCATGCATTCTGAGGGGCTGGATGAAATTCTCAAACACCCACTAAAGGAATTCAATGTTCTGCAGTGTACCCGAGAGCAGGTGCCGGTCACCTGAAAGACATCAACCTTGAGCCATGCAACTCAAAGGGAAACCAGCAGGCTCCTGAGGAAAGGGATCCTGCGTGCCAAAGGGCCACCGGCCTGAGGCCGTCACAGAATTTCAAGGACTCGAGAGAAAAAAAAAAAAATTGACACCAGTCCGCTAGTGAGTATGTGGTTTTCCGTTTAAACTACCGAGTGCTTTAAATCTGGTCTTTTAGGTTTGTAACTCTATCAAGGATGAGCTATTTAACTTGCTTTAAAATACATGAAATGAAAAGAGGACACGAATCAAAATTAAGAAGACGGGAGTTTGTTCTTTCCCCTCCCTCCCCAATTTTTGTTTTTCTCTTTTTTCTTTTTTTCTTTTTTTTTCTCCTTTTTTTTTTTTTTTGTAAATCAAAGCAGGCCTAGCCTCCCTGCTATCCCCACTGACAGGGGATTCTCAAAATATCCTATTCACACTAACGGCTAACCAACCTTTCTGGCTTCTAACTTTATAGAAAAATGTAGTAACAGAAAAACGGGCAGGGAAAGTCACCTACAAAGATCTAATTTAAAATAATGACAGGGCTGGCTAAGGCTGTATCCTGTAGCACCTGGCACACACTGGAGGGGCTGTGTGGAGGAGTAGGCAGGGTTGGGTACAGAGAACACGAGGGGCCTTAGGACGCCCCACGGACAATGATCATGACCAGATAGTCATCCTCTGATTTGGCCAACGCCTTGGCTGTGGAGTCAAGAAACTGCTGGGAGAAATCGCAGGGTGGAAAGGCGTGCAGGACCCCGCTGTTCTCCTTGTCTTTGTTACCCCCCACAGGGAGGCTGATCACCCCAGCAGCCTGCTTTTGCTTTAGATAGGACACCAGATTCCTGAGTGGCCTCTGGGTGGAGGTGGTGGTGGCCTCGGCAGCTCCAGCTGCGGAGCGGCCGTCCGATGCGCCAGGCACGGCCAAAAGGATGGCGTAGCCGTTGGGACCCGCCACTTTGATGCGACGATTGACCTCGTCCAGCTTGGGCTGGTCCAGACGAAGACGTTGGGTGATCTTGAGCTGAGCTACTTTCCCACCAGTCGCTCCCTCCACGAGGAGACTGCTGGCAACACCGAGGTCCCCCTGAAGCAGATGCATATTGGACGGGAAGTTGCTGTTCTTCAGCAGAAGCATCCCCTGCCAAGCCAAGCACAGCTTGGGGGCTCCCCCGGCCTGCGACGCTCCGTCCTGCTGCTGTTTCTGAGGAGGAGGTTTGAGGCGGGAGACTCCACCACCTCCTTCCGTAGCACGTTCATCCTTTTTGGCTGGACTTTTGCACTCCTGCACGGCGGTTGCCGCAGAAGCGCGATGTTTCCGCTCCCGTTCAGCAGAATTCTTGCGGTCGCGCTTTTCGTTCTGGCCCCGTTCCAGGCTGCCCCTGCGCGATTCCCGGACAGGCGAAGGCCGCTCCAACAGGAGCAAACGGGAGGACGAGCGCTCGGGGTCACTACTGTAACGCTCCCTCCCTCCAAGAAGCTCGGGGCTGCGGTCCGGTGGAGAGGTTGTGGCTAAACAGTGACGCTTCCGGGAGGAAGAAGAGCGTTCGCTATCTGGAGAACGGTCCAAGTGCCGGCCTCCATCCTCCGCCAGTCTCCGTTTCCTAGGCTGATCCCTACTACTACTGCCCAATTCCCTCTCCCCTCGGTCCCGCTCCAAGGACCAACCATCCCGGCGGCGCTCAAGGCTTTCCAGTGGGTCATAGGCAGCTGCCCGATTACTCCTATCCCGTACAGGGGGTGGGGGGGGCACCCACTCTGTCTCAGGATAAAGGTCTCTGTCACGGTCTCTATAGAGTAACGGTGGCGTCCTGTCCCGGGCCCCCCGAAGAGGATCAGGTGGGGCTCCCCGGTGAGCCCCAAAAGCAGCCGCCTCCGCCACGAGCTCGTAATG